TTTTTTTTTTTTTTTCTGTGTATAATAAGTGTCATAGATCGTTGATCAAGTTTTACTCGTACAACGATGAACTATTATGGTTGTCTTATTTTCAACACGTAAAGTGGCAATTGTTTACAATTATTCATTTTGCAGACTTGTTTGCAACTATCGTCTCCCGAGTTAATGAGAAAATTGCCAAACGGTGACGCGGTACACCATACAAAAGACTCAGTTGTTTCCACTTCCTTCAATAAAAATAAAGATCTACCAAGGGAAAGCAGTAAGTCTTAACGATAATTATATGTTCTTGATATAAGTGATTATACATAAATAGCGTAACTTTTGCATGCGCAGTTTATTGTAAGAACAGAAACGAAATTTTCACGGCTGAAATGAAACATAAAAAATTTAAAAAATAATTAGAAGAGATCATGTTCGTTTTAGCACAAATGAGATATACCTGGTCTGTGGTTGTAGTAATCATTCGAATAGTTAATTAACTACTTTGATTAATTTTATTTGCCGATATTGTAGTAAAATCTTTGATTCAAAAATTCCAAGAATTGAATTACTGAAATCGACAATTAAAGTCACTCTTTTTACGGAAATGAATAAAATATTGTCAATACCATTATAGTGAATTCTGCCATCTGTGGCAGTGAGTATAATAAAAATCTAATTAAAAGATTTTATTTTGTTTTTAATTCTCTGAAAGATTTAAACAGACGAACTTGTTAGCTGTGTTTGTGGTTGCATTACAGATACGTGCATGTGAACAAAAATTCATCGTAGTGGTGCCAATAAATTTTTGCGAATATCTTGAAAACTGTTCATTTCCATGTCAGAAATGTCATTAATTTTCGGCAATTTATTACCAAATTTAGCTTCCCAGATGTTATATCGTAGTGCAGCTACTATTTTAGTTTCTTTTATAATTTTGCACGTTATTAAACTCCTTTAGCAAGGAAACAAAGATAAAACAGAAAGGCGATTGATCTTAAAGAAGAATTTTTACAGAGGACTTCATTCTCACTTGGACGATATTAATCAATAATTATTAATTAAAATTCTATTAAAAAAGAATTGAGTTAGCATTTCACTAGTACGATCTACGAAAAATCACAGCGAAAGAATTTATAATCGTTTTGTTCATTCGCATTCATTGATGAAAGTATGTATGACGGTGTGATACGCAGGGCAGAACGTATTAAGAAAATGGATAGTGATGATTGGTTTCTTCTTCCTTGGATGTGCTTTGGTCGCTGGTGTCGGATTACCTTTAGCTTTAGAATTACGAAGCTCGCACTTACTGGAAGCTAGGCTTCAAGTTGTACGACGAATGCTCTCCGAAGTACCTTTAATCGACGGGTAAGAGAGCAATTGTTATCGCGCAAATGAAAGCGATAGGAATAATTTAAGAACTTGTAGATTCAAACGATCATGATTTTAGGCACAATGATTTCGCATGGAATCTACGGAAGCATCGAGGGAGCACAAGATTAAAAGATTTCCCTTTTGACGAGGACTTGTCGCGAAATATAAGTTGGGGCTCTCAATGGCAAACTGATTTGGTGCGGTTACGACAAGGTATCGTGGGCGGCCAATTCTGGTCCGTTTACGTTCCGTGTGAGGCGCAGTTTCTTGATGCGGTGCAACTCACCCTGGAACAGATAGACGTAGTTCGTAGGCTTGCCTCGAAATATCCGAAGAAAATAAAAATGGTAATGAACAGCAGGGAGCTCGAAAAAGCGCATAAAGATGGCGTGATTGGGAGTTTAGTAGGGATCGAGGGTGGCCACAGTATCGGGACATCCATGGCTGTGTTGAGAAGTTTTCATCAATTAGGAGCTCGATATATGACCCTCACGTATAAATGCAACACTCCGTGGTGAGTTCACACTTTTCTCTTCCGTACTCTACGTCTTATCTATGTTGTAACATGCGAGTATAAAAATAAA